TTTTCCAAATTTGGCAGCACCGTTAAAGTTTCCCAAAATTCAAACTAATAATAGCAGTATGTTATGCATTGATAGCAGCAATAGCTTTTCCAGGTTCTGCAGTCATCTGAACAAAATTATAGACATTCAGCACATTCCATTAAAACAAAACAAAACAAAACAAACAAACAAAAAAAAAACAAAGAAAAGAATAATATCCAGAAAACAGTAAAGTTCTATTGCTGTTGTGGTACCTGGCACCATTTTTTTATTAACATCTTAATAATCATCTGGAAAGAGAACATCCTAGAGTAATATCATTAAATGTAGCTCTGATAAAGCACAGTCCCTACTACTATGTATCATAAAGCAGGTATAAGATATTTTACATTCATAGAGGTATGATACAGTACCGTCCTACATCAATAATACTAGAATCGGTTTTGGTTTGAAATTTACTTTGTCTGCAAATAAGATTGCTACCCCTGTTTTTTTCTGGTATCCTGTCACATGGAGAATTGTTTTCTATCTTTTCACTTTCAGTCTATAGGCTTCTTTTTGCACTAGGTGTGTTACTTGTATACAACATATTGTTTGATTTTGCTTCTTATTCCATTTTGCCGGTCTATTTCTCTTGATTGGTGAGTTGAGGCCATTGACATTGCTGGTTATAACTGATATGTACTGACTTATTATTGACATGTCATTGGCCTTTTCTTGACTCTTTTTACTTTTTCACTTTCTCCTTTTAATTTCTTGCCTTGCCTATTTGATTTGCTCTGTTGGGCCTCATGGTGTTGTTGCCTTCATTGTCTTTTTCTAGAATCTTGTTTAGAATTGCTTATAGTGCTGGTTTGGTATTCATGTAGTTTCTTAGGTGTTCTCTGTCGTGGAAATATCTTATTTCCCCATCCATTTTGAAAGAGAGTTTTGCAGGATACATCAGTTCAGGTTGGAGGTTGTTCTCTTTTAGTACTTCAAATATCTCATTCCAGGCTCTCCTTGCCCCAAGGGTTTGTGTTGAAAAGTCTGCTTTTATTCTGATGGGCTTTCCTTTGCATGTGATTTGTTTCTTTTCTCTTACTGCTTGTAGTATTTTGTTCTTCTGTTGGGTTTCTGGGATCTTGATTATTATATGTCTAGGTGTAGATTTTTTTTGATTGTAGCTAGTTGGGGTCCTATATGCCTCAGTTATCTGAGTGTCAAATTCTTCCCCTCTGTTTGGGAAGCTTTCTGTCATTAATTCTGCTAACAGCTTTTTAAAGTAAAGTCATTTGTATTTTCTCCTGCTACTTCATGTATTCCTATCAGTCTTCTGTTATTCTTCTTTGCGTCATCTAGGAGTTGTTGGATTGATTTCTCATGATCCCTTACTGTTTTTAAGAGACCTCTCTTTTCATGGTCACTGACTGCAATCTTATCTTCTATAACT